GACGCCCCCTAATGCCGCTGCCTCCGCCGCGCAGTCGTGACCGATGGGAAACCCCGCCACCAGCAGTACCCGTCGTGTTAGCGCCTGGTGGAGGCCAGGTCCGAAAGGAGGGAGAAAAGAAAAAAAAACAAACAAATAAAAGCTGACAGCAATGTGTGAACAGTTTTGAAATCTGCAATTGACCCAAACTTCATAATAAATGGTCACAGACTAGATTCTCACTTCCTCAGGGCTTTCCATCACGATTGTTTCTGCTTGCTTCTGGGGAAAAGGCAAACTTGGTCAAATCCATGTGGTGAAGTTCATTAGCCTAATAAAGTCTGAGGATGTTTTCAGAAAAAAGAAACTCATTTAGCTTTGTGTATGTAAATTGTCCTGTGGAATGCATCTCAAGAAAGGAAAAAAATTTGCACTATAAAATAAAATAGTTTTAGTAATAATGGAGCACAAATAACTTACTGATTTATTAAAACTTATTTTTTGTTGATTTTTTGACAGTATGAAACAGTGTTCAACTCAGCATATTCTATGAATGATTACATAAAATGTACCTGGCATTTTGAAGATACCGATAAATACTTTTAAGTGCCTAAAAGCTGCAAGTAACGGTATCTGCACGCGTGAAGAAGAGCACGATGAGTCGCGGCGTTCAGCGCCGTGGCTGCAGTAAAGCCACCGAGCACGGCCGAGGGGGAGCCGCGAACGGGAAAATGCGCAGGGAGGGCCCAACCCCCAAGCGCTCTACCCCAAGCGCTCTCACAACTGAAGACCGTTCGCCCCTGAGCTCCTCTTCATAGCAGATGCGTGTTACATAAATTAGTGCAGGCTGAGGCGGGGACAGCTCGGGGTGCAGCGCGTGCTCAGCGTGCACGGGGTTCTGGGTTCAATCTGCAGCGCCTCCACTAACAATAAATAAATAGATAAACCTAGTTCTATTCCCCAGGCCCCCCAAAATGCAGGAAGACAGAACAATGCTAAAAAGTTTGAATGCAATGCCATTTGCATTTATAATTTAGGCTCATCATTCTCAACCCAGAGAGAAATCTTTCACAAAGAGTGAATCTGTGTGAGATTGAAGAAGGAATGCTGAAATATTATCAAGCAGAATATTCGCGTGAAGATGACAAGGCCTGTGAGGCGCCACTCGTTCCTGACCCCGAGTCACCGATGGGTGAACACACGTACGCCGTTCACTGCCGGTGCGTCCACTGCTGTGCTTCGGCGGAACGTGTTTGCTACAACGACCATCACACTGCGCTAGACCCTGTCACACGACGGTCCCTCTAACCCCTGCAAGAGCTAAGCCATCGCCAGAGCACTGCCCTTTCCCAGATGAAACAATTGCAGGGACACCACACACACACAAGATACTTCACAGCTACTAAGTAGGGGCCAAACCCAAGTCTGCCGTTCTCCACGGTTCCTGCTGGTCTTCAATCCCAACCTACCTCTTTGATTTTCTGGAATTACTTGCCTAACCAAACATCAAAAACCCACTGCTTGATGACGATTCACCCTGGACTCCCACTGCCAATGCTGGAAGAGCCTTAAGACAGAGGCTAGACCCCAAGCCTGCTTTAGCACAAGGCATGAACCTGGGAAACTGATTTACCGATTTTCTCAGACAGAGCGTGTTCTGAGCCATCATGCCTTTTTCCTTAGAATGCTGTTGTGATCTTAAGCCTTTTTTCTCTCTCTACAAGTAAAAAGTTTCCCATACTCTCTTCATTTGTTGAAGATCCCCTGTTAGAATTGGCCTGAAGTTTGGAAACGCCGGTGATCTAGAGCACATCAGTGGGCAGGGAAAAGAGAAAGCTTTCCCTTCCTCTGCGTCTCTGATGTTTATGACAGAGACCGCCCGGGCCGGCTGCAGTCCACCCGGGGAGGGGCCGGGGCTGGCTCTCCTAAGGGACCCCGGTTAGCGAACGAATTCACGTTCACATGACAGCAATGATTCCTTGCATGCAGACTATTCAAAGACACAATTCCTCAGTTCTATGCATGTAAATGGAAAAGGAGGCTACAGAAATGAAATGACATGCTTACATGTTGAACAAAAACAGGCAAAACCACGTCCACCACATCTTTATCAGCCTCTCCCAGTTCACCGTCAGTAGGTCCTAATGTCTCATGCCCTCTGGAAAAATTCCTCTTCAAAAAGTCTGAGACAGCTTTTACACACGCAGGTCATGTAGCACTACGTCTTCTGTGTTACGGGAAACGGGGAAGGATGTTTTGCAACATAGGGGCAAACACACTGGGAAGTGCGGTCTGTGTGGATTACAACTAATTACACAGAAGATGTTAAAAACCACAACAAAAATGCTTTGAAGGCAGGACCTACCTTTACTCTCTCCGTGACACTGGGCGCCTGGTATTTGACATCTAACTCACGTTTGCCCATCAGTAACCACAAACATACTTTTTTTTTTCACTGTAAATGGTCTTGACGGGTCTCCTGGTTAAGCCACAAATCAAATCTGCCCTCGCAGCGCTGTTTCTGCTTTGCATCCGCCTTCAACTAAGCAAGACGCCGACCACGGGTACCCTCTCTTGCCTTCTGCCCACCCTCCCCGCCGGAGTAATTAACAACACGTTAGAATGTGGATGTCCTGTGGGCGCCTCCTTTTCCTCGCCTTTGGTGTGGGTGGGCTTGGAGGCATATTTAGTAGAAACCCTTCCTTTAAAAATATTCTTCTTTACACATCTATATTCTTCTCTTTTGGTCTCCATTCATGTGAAATTTGTCCTAACCAAATACGTTTCTGAACTTAATTAATTGGATGTTTACTAAAACCAGTGCATCTACTGTGTACTAATTTTACAAATCTTGTAAACTTGAACAGTAATGATAAAGGGATAAAAACAGAAATAGTGAAAGAGCACAAAATTAGATGAAAGCGTACAATGCTTTACAGAAAGCAGCTCTTTTCTCCTGATTTCTCGTTAACATATGCACACACGTTTGCCAGCTCAGTGGGCAGTGACCGGCTCTAGAGAGAAAAAGAGGCGAGTTTACTGGGCTAGCTGCTGCATCTGAGCCAACAGCTCTGCGCACAGAACAAGCCATCACTGCCTCACCCTCCTGCGGGTTGTCTGCAGGCTGCTCCGCCGACAGAGATTAAGCGCTTTATTAAGTAACTGCTAAATTACCACGGGAGTGTCTGCACATTTTATTTCCAAGGCAGCGCTATTCTTCACTTTTACTAATTTGATCTCTAAAATTTCATTATGAACTTTATCACTGTGATTCAATCATTTTTCTTTTTTTCCCTTGGTAGAATTTTAAAAATTCTCCGATTCAAAGAAATCTATATTTCTAGAAATTGACCCAAGTGTAAATAGCATCGCTTGGGAACGATTGTGTTCCTTAAATTAACAACGTACGATGAATTGCCCTGGGATCTTTCTGCTTTTAATCACTGCAGCGCCGCTTTGAATCAATGCACTGAACCATGGTTGAGGATGAGAGTCTGAGTCTGTGACGGTTAGTGAGGGCAGGGATATGTCCTGTGTTTGAGGGGTGTGCACCGGCCGGATCTGACAGCGGGGCCCCAGCTCAAGCCTACATTTTATTCACCTGGTGAATGTGGAATAATTTCTTATCTCAGTTGCCTGGTGAAACCTGCCTGCCATAAATGTGTCTGTGTTAGAAACCAAGAGGTGTCCTGGAGAGCAGCCGCCCTGAGACGCGTGGTCCAGGGGCGGGGCGCCAGGACCACTCCTTGGCTTCTAAGTCCGCAATGCACTTCGACTGTTTATAATATTTGAGTCCTATGCTGTAGCACGCTAGGCTGAAATGTGTTTTTTCAAGAAACTTAGAGAAGTCACTGCTGTCAGGCCCTCCCTAACCTGAACCCAGAAATCTGCTGACATCTGTCTGTGGGATGCATCCCACACGCATACCAAAGAGAGAGAAGAGCTGAATATTACTTCATTGTCATGATAAAATGTTGTTCAAACATGATGCAAGATGTTTTAATTTAGAGGTAATTTTCTTGTATTGAAAATTATCTTCTTTAGGCTGATTCTGTGGAGTGAGACAACCTTCTCCCAGTGAGGTCAGCTCACTGGCTCCCCCGGCCTCTCTGTTGAAGCTTGTTGTCCTGAGATGATTATTAAAAGCTCCCCCTTGCCTCCGACAGTCACAGTTTCAGGAACGAATACTGTCTCCACGATGATGGGTGCGGACTCCTTCCCCTCCCTCCAGTTTCTCAGATGGCCTTGAAGGTCGGTACTTCCACCAAGTCAGAAGCTGGAGGGACAGTCACTACTGTTCTGGTTTTTCCTGTGTGTCAAGCTTGTGCTGACTAAATCTCATTTCTTGCTAAAGGCCTTGCCCTGGACAGAGTCCCAGCAAGCGCTGGGTTCCCTGACGCACCCTCCATCCCAGAGGACCCGGGCAGGTGCGCACAGGTACGGCGGGTACCACATCCACACCAGGAGTCCTCCCCTCAACAACAAAGAGCCACGGCAGGACCCCAACACGGATTTGGACCAAACATCAGCTTTAAAGAGAAACTCAAAATAGATTCAGAAGCCCGTCCAGATGAATTTTTTTCCCTCTCATTTACTAGCGCGAGAGTCTTTTACCCACATGTGACAGAGTTCGGTGACAACTCGGGCCATCTTACTTCCTTTTTAAAATCAGAGTTTAATTTTTTATTCTAATCACTTTAATTTATGTTTAAAGTTATTTATTACATTCATTTAATAGCTATGAAATTGATGCATTAATATTTAAAGTAGTAAATTTATTAAATTAATTTAATATTCATGAGCCTAGCCAGATTTGAATATTTTATTCAAAAGAACATATTTGTCATGGGACGAGTTTACGACAGTCTCATCTGAGGCTCATTCAAAGAGCCACCGGCACCTGAAACTCCATAAATAAAAAAGTATTCTTGGGGAGGGTGTAGCTCAGTGGTAGAGCACATGCTTAGCACGCACGAGCTGGGTTCAATCCCCAGCACCTCCATCAAAAAAAAAAGTTAAAGGAGAAAGAAAAGTGTTATTTTGGCATCACACAAAGGCAACACCTTGCGTGATCAAATCTGACCCGAGTGTGTGCTATTTAACTTCCCGAAGTCAAAATATAAAGAAACATTGGCCACCCTCACATAATGTGAGATTTTGTGTGACAGTCTCAATTGCTGGGCCATGAAAAGTCGTAAGAGCTCCGAACCCCAGCCCACGTCCAGCTGGGGGACCAGCTGGGCCCCCTCATTGGACGCCGTCTCCCAGGACGCACACTCCCACGCCCCGCACGCTGTCCTCCCCACACATGTATACCGCTCTCGTTCTGTGTGCGTTTGCTTTTGAGAACCCTGTACAAGGCTTAGTTTCCTGGTGCCATGTAAGTGCCCCATAAGGGATGACTCAGTCATCCTTCAGTAGCCACACGGAATCTGTTAGTCCATTAAGGAGAAGACGGGTCTGAGGAGCCGAGGTCCTCTGAGGGGAGGAGGGCGTCTTCCTGGGGGCCTCAGCCCTGAGTCAGGAGCTGCGGCAGTGTCTCTGGCCCCGGAAGGGGACTGACGGTGGGTAGGGGGGCTTCAAGACCCTTTAGATACGGCTGGCTGAGAGGCCCCCTTCATCATTCGGTGCACATCACTCCCGGGGACACAGGCTTTGTGGAAGAGGCACCAGTCAGACAGCACAGACCTCACTGAGCCAGGTGTTCACAAGGGCTACCCTCCCTGGCTTGGAACGCCAAACGCTCAACGGGGCATCCTGTGATCCTGACGTGTTACCCGTAGAACTAAACAAATATGGTTCCTCATTTTGATATTGGAGACTGACTCAGAAAAATAATAAAGGAACACTTTGTTTTAAAAAACTGTTTTGAGAGAAGAAAATTTCCCTTCATTATGAGGCCATACCTTTAATAAAAGAGAATATATATATAAAATGTAGAGACATATATATGTATGTATGTAACCACATATACACGTATGTAACCACATATACACGTATGTACTGCATGTAGTTATAATGTAGTTATAATGTGGCACCATATTGATTTTATTAAACTTCAAACTTTTAGTTTTCTATAAATAGATTAAAGCTTAATTTATCTTCTATCAATAGAACTGTGGACCTAAAACCCGACCCCTGAGGACCACTGAGCGTGCTGAGTGGATTAGTGATTTCGATCATTCTAGGTTAAGAGATGACGGAACACAGTACCTTGGTGGCCGCGTCAAAGCAGATGAAGCCGGAGCTGAAGTCGATGGTGAGCCCCATCAGGTGACCGTCCAGCACACACGCGTACGTCTTGCACTGGACAGAACAGAAGACTGTTACTTCCCGTCAGATGGACCCAACGGCAGGCTGAACAGCCAACGCCTATCGACAGTGTGACCGCTCCTGTGAAATGCTCCTTATGCAATGCCACCTTCGTTTCAGCCATGACTGTCTAAGGAAGCTGGTGTTCCCAACATCCCAGAGTTGACAGACACAAGCTGAGTGCCTGTGGCCCTGCCCGGGTGGGGGACGTGGGCTGTTTCTAGTTCTGCTCCATCTGACCTCGTCTCTGCCTTGTGCCCCATTTCTGCCCTTGGTTACACTGGCAGTAAAACTGTACACACATTTTCAGGTATAGGCAAGATTTTGTTGTTAGATTCTGTAGCTCAAGATCACAGCATTTTCATTAAACTCAAAGTAAATTATTAAAGATTAAGGTCTTACCTAAATTCTTGGCACATCAATTTCATCACTATTATTAAAAAGACAGCTCCAGGCCCACAAACAGATTTAATACCCAAGGCAAAAAATACAAGAAACCTCGTGACCTTGAGAGTCTCTGTGTATTCATCCACACTGTGCACATTACATCCTAAAGACACTGACTCTTGCCTATTATCTGTGCAAACCTACTGATTCTCCAAAACAAGAATTGATGATTATTCACACTGAGGTCAATTTAAATTATAACTTCACTTATATGAATACTTTGGAAAGACTAATCAAATATAGATAGCAAAGTATAAGAATAACAGATCTGAAAAACAAACTTGGAGCTTACAGGAAACATAATGCATTTTTATGTCCATAAGCCAGTTTTATTTGCATTGAATTGCAAACCAGAATGGGATGTTAAAATGAAGAAAAATGCTTGTAATTCACACACAAGGAGAGGGAGGGAGAGGGAGAGAGAAACCATCTTAAGCGAATGTTCAGTACCGATGCTTACATCCTATCTGTTTTTATAATGCTGTTTATGAAAGGACATTAAGTGAACCTCACTCTGACTATAACGATGCCTAAACGCATCAATGCTTTTGCCATCACCAAAAAGCTGTATTCATGTGCTTAAGCCCAATTCGCGTAGTAATGTTATAACCATGCCAGATTATTCATTTGGAGTTAAGTTTTCCAAAAAAAACAAAAAACAGATTAGAAAGCAAACTTAATGGTCCTTGTAAGTTCATTTTGGGTGTAATTTTATTTGTTTAATACACGAGCACTTTCCACGTGCACATCCACCCACTACCACTTCATTAAAGCTACTACCAACCTGAGGAATGTCCAAGGCTATCTCATTTTCTCCAATTTAGACATAATCATTTGCTATTTTCAAGTAACACTATTGAAAAAATACATCAGGTGGAAACACCTTCAGTATAGAACATTAAAATTAATCTCGTTAAGTTCAGAATTACAAATTAAATGTTTTATTAAATGTTTTAATAAATTCTATTCATCTATTCCATTAAACTGAAATAGATATGATATAAATTGAGACCCACTGAAGTTTGATTCCATGATTTATAGTCTTAATAGACATGTAATACGAGTATACTTGATGTATGTTTTAATATTAAAATATTTGATTTATGGCTTAATATCTATGTTTATTTTGAATTATAGTTAGAAAAGAGCAAAAAATTACCCTTCTGGGGAAATTCAAACTAGAAACACTTTGAAATATTTTTGTGCAATCATATACTATTTGAAGATATGTCACACATAAAATAAATTTTAATATACTCTTTTGTATGACAGCTAAATGTCTGTAGCTGGATAAAACACAATGGAACAGTTTGAAATAATAACAGTGAAAGGAAATGAGTTTTTGAAAGTGATATACTTTTTCATTAAAAGTCTTATTTTCAAAGGGCAGTGTTAATTCAGATTAAATTAGTGTAAAGTCAAAAACAACTCTCTGTCCCTTACCAGTATCATTCACTTTCTCTGGGAAGACTGCTCAGAAGTGAGATAAATACAGGTGCTAAAAGTGCAGTAAGTGAATTCAGCCTAGTAACCGTACTTTGCACACTCGGGGAAGGTAAGATTTAGTTCATATCAGTTGTCATACTTCTGTTTCAATGTTCATTGCATTTTCCAAATTTTGAGGTAATTTAAGTGACAATGTAGGATGTTTAGAAATACCTGTTTTCAATGGATTACCTCCTAGATAAATATGTTGATATTTATATCAATATTAAGTACATTAGAGATTAGAAAATACGTTAATAGATAAAGGAATAGATTAGAAGCTAGAAAATGTTAAGTAAACGCTGTACGGTTAAGGAAAACCAATTTCAAAATAAAAATAATTGAACTGATTAACTCTTACTGTATTTGTCAATTTGCTAATTTTCTGCCTGGATGCCTATTTCGCAATAGGACATGTGTCCTCCTTTATTTTCTTTCTTTATCAACTTGAATGGTATTGGAAATACTGAGAACATAGAAGGAAACCACACGAGGTTCTTCATGTAAATATATTCATGTCCTTGAGTTTTGAAATAGAACCGCAGTGTTCAGTCATTGACTATTGATTCCTGGTAGAGTAAACGAAGGGAAATTATGAAATCCATAAAACAACCAGAAACTGAAAAGGCATTAAATATTTCAGTTTCCACTTAACTATATGCACCTTAAATCCACAGTGTAAATATGTAAGGTGCTAATGCAAAAAAGTGCATTGCTCAGGACGTCAGCTTAGAGACCGTGAGGTTCAGATTAAAAAAAAAAAAGACAATGAACAGCAGTAAAATACAAATGGAACAGCATGATTTTATCTCTATCTCATTTCTAAGTACCCGGAGACTTGAAATCTGAAATTGAAGCCAGCAGGTGGAAATCGCCATGTGTTTGTTTCCAAGTGATGTGACAGGCCAGAAGAATGGTAATTAGGAACACCTGAGATTATCATAAGTCACAAAAACGTCAACTCCTGTACAACGCTGTGCAACGCTCTGAAACGGACTTAGATGTGGACACTGGGAACCAAGTAACGCTGAAGACATTTTTCACCTTTCCGCTTTTGATATTAAAGTATCTATCTACTGAACTGAGGCTCTATACAGCTGAACTATGGAAACAACGTTTCTCAGTCACATTGCTGGATACACGCAGGGCAGCAGGACTATAGGAAAGCGTGAGCTGAGCGACGGGAAAAGGGACACGAGTCTCTCCTCGTCGCCCCCCGACTGCCACGCCACAGCGGTGTGACTCACGGGCTGAATATGGAAGTTTGCAGCCGGAAGGGAAGGAAGGAGTCATGTCACCGATCAGGTCAGCGCCACTGAAGGCCACGCACCCCCGGCCCGGCGCGGGCGTCCCAGGAGCCCTCGTCCAGCGCGGAGGCCGGAGGCCTTGACGTCTGAGCGAGAAAACTTCGCACGTCAGGAACGAGGCGTCACAAACCCTGCCGAAGCCCGTGAGGGACGACAGGCCCTGGGCCGCGGTCGGCAGGCGCAGCAGGTCACCCCGGAACCTCCGCCCCGCGCGGGACGCCCCCGGGCGGGGCCCCC